TTTATACCGCCGAAAATTTGTCCAGGATTGGCGGTCTTTAAGAGCGCGTTCGCCAATCAAAACTCGCGCTGATATTCGACAATTTCGGCTTTTTGTATTACTTACTACCAGAGCGAGTTGTGATTGGCCACTGCTTTTCCGCTTTCTGCTTTTCCGTGAACGCGCCCTAATAGTAGGTTTGTTCGCGTTGCTTGCACTTTTGGCACTCGGCATCTTCGCTTTCTCTCTTTTCTAGGCCAAATATATATCTATCTCATTTTAAGTGCAAAAATATTTGGGGATTTCATGCAATGCGAACAGACCTAGTATCTCGTCGGTGTCTCAAATAAAGTATATACAAATGCCTAAATTTGAAATTGGCCGCGTTTCGTCAAAATGGTAGTGAGTTTGTGGTCTTAATAAATCTAGTGACTTTATGTCTTCTACCACTGTTTGCCACCATGGTTGCGAGCGCATGTTGATTCTCCCTGATCTTATGGTTCGTGATTTGTCAAGCGAAGAGAGGTTAGATTTTCCTTTATCGCGTGGAAGAATGGCTGACGCGTAAGTAGTTTTAATGGCTCAAAAAATCCGGCTGCATCAGCCGACAACATGATTTCGCGAATGCACAAATGTTGTATTAGCAATTGTTTATGTTGCATGCGTATTAGCGAATAAGTATTTTTACTTTAATCAAATGACAAACGGGATTATTAACCGGAAGTTTGCGAGCACATAGTTGCCCATCGCGAGGCGATAATGTCATTATTTACACACACCCGAAAAAAGAGTTTGTTTTTCATTGATCGTAAACTCATTTTGCTATGTAAACATTTGTATTTTGTATGAAAGCTGAAAAATACTTACAATCAATATTACTTAACTCCAGTGAGTTTATGTGATTAACAAAACATGTGTACCATTTAACGAGGTAACCACTAGTTGAAATATTGTTCCACAAATTATATGATTTCATATAATTTCATCTGATTACAATTAATTTTCTTCACTACATGTGGATTTCAGTATATATGAGGATTTATATGAATATAAATTTTATAATGATTTCAGAGACATTTTCCCACAATCACATTAAGTGATTACTCCGCCATTTAACAGACTAGCAATTTATCTCTAATCCTTCATGTATTTCTAATATTATATTTGTCCCATGCAGGAAGAAAGAAGCTGTCCCTCTAACAAAAAAACTGCCGGCAGTGCCGGAGTCAGTGTTAAAGAGAAAAAAACGCCGTGAGGTAGTGAAAGCTGCGCGTTTACAGGTCTCCATCAAGGTAATTCTGTTTTATGTAGACGATTTTGTAGCTCATTCCTTTCTAAAGCCTTGTGTCTATAATGCTAGATATTGCTCCAAGACCTTGAAAAAAGAATTAATAGATATTATTTGAACTATTGACCAATGTAATTATTCAATTTTTTCTCCATCTGAGATTTTGAAGCGATTTTTCTAACATTGTGGACACATTATCTTTTCACGATAAGAACTGTATTTTTTAATGTAGAAAAGAAATTGAGACCCATGTGACAAGCTGATTTTTATTTTGTTACAGCAACGTGCTGATCGCTATAAAAAGAGGAAGCAAATTTTCAGAAAAGCCGAGGAGTATGTGAAAGAATATAGGCGAAAAGAGAGGGATGAAATTCGATTAATGAGACAAGCTAAAAACCGTGGAAATTATTATATTCCTGGTGAAGCACGTCTCGCGTTTGTTATCCGTATTCGAGGGTAAGTGTATGAATATATTATTATTATTAACATAAGTTGTGTCTTTTCTTTTCTAAAGATTCGATTTAATAATAACATTACAATCAGTTAGTACAATCATTATTAACATTACATTAAATTAGTACTTAATGTAATGTTAATAATGATTGTTGAATTAATAGTGATTGTAACGTGACAAAAATTTGATGTAATAATGTGATTACATTTGATGCAATTACATTATTACATCAAATTTTTGAGTTAATGATTGTAATGTGATTATAATTTTTTCAGTGTGAACCAAGTTGCTCCTAAAGTACGAAAGGTATTGCAATTGTTCCGTCTAAAACAGATCAACAATGGTGTCTTTGTGAAATTAAATAAAGCGACAATCAATATGTTACGTATTGTCGAGCCGTATATCACATGGGGTTATCCCAATTTGAAATCAGTTCGTGAATTGATCTACAAACGAGGCTTTGCCAAGATAAACAGGCAACGCATACCGATCACTAGCAATTCCATCATTGAGAAGAAACTCGGTTAGTAAAGCATTTTCTAATATTAGTTCAAATGAACAATCAATGATTACTAATAAAGTAATGAGATGCGACCAACATGCGTATTCTCGACAATTGATGTCTTGACAAATCCATGGGGGTCTTGGAAACCACAATTCTCCTTTCCATTTTGTCAGAAATTAATAAAGCAATTTTTTCTTAACTTGACTATATAATCATTGTATAGTCAAGTGAAAAAAACTGATACAAAAACTATAATAATTTATATACATACGTATTATTGCTTACTCACAATAGTATAGCTCAAAAATTACTTTTTAGTTGGTTATAAAAAAGAATACGAATATAAAGAAAAAAAACATTTAATAATAGGTACTTTTATATAATCAGTTAAACATTAAAATTACTTTTCAAAATTCATATTACAAAAGTTTAATAATTCAAAATATTTTAACTTATTTTCTCTAGAAAACTTTGTTTTTTGAGTTATATCTTAACAAATGAGCGATATATAATTAGTATGTACAAGTAAGTCGATTTGCATCGCTTAGGAAATAATTTATCGAAAGGAAAATTTTATTTTGCCCTTAGGTCGATCTAATATCATCTGTACCGAGGATTTAATCCATGAGATATTTACTGTTGGTCCGAAGTTCAAATACGCCAGCAATTTCCTATGGCCCTTTAAGGTATGCTCTCTTCAAAATTTAAAAAAAAGAGATACTATGTACAATATTTTGTATCGATATATTTTTTTCATACTTACGACATAGGCATGGTTATAGATCAATCTAAAGCTATAAACTCCCTATTATGTCGAAAAACAATACGAGTTTTTCTTACCGATGGATGATATCTGTTAATATCATCAATCTAAGACAAACTCAAACACTTACATTAGTTCAACAACAAATTTTTTATATCTTGATTGCTTTAGCATATATTTTTTCGGAAACGTTACACATCTGTATAAAAAGTCATTTCTCTGTTTCTAGCTTAATACTCCAAATGGTGGATGGCGTAAGAAGACCAATCATTATGTAGAAGGTGGTGACTTTGGAAACCGAGAGGATAAAATCAACGAGCTCCTCAGAAGGATGATATAAGTTTATAAAAATCTTCGTAAATAAAAATATATCCTCTAATTAAATTCTTGTGTTTCTTGTTAATTATTATTCACTTGTGCTTGATTTTTGTGCGTGCATGCGTGCGTGGAAAAAAAACTGAGAAATATTAAATTTACTGAAAAAAAAGTAGTATCGCCAAATCAAAATAAACATCTAGGCAAATACGTTTGCAACGTATTTGCCATTGCGAAAATCTTTGTAGTAAATGTTGAAAGAATAAGAAGATATGTATATATTATAGATATATATATATTTATATATATTATTTTTTCGACTCAGTTTAGTCCGCTCTAACAGCACACGAAATATTTGGCGGTCATTCTGGGACAATCGAGCCTTAAGCATAAATTTGTTATAAGATGAAACTTCAGATGAACTCTATATAAACTTTATATATTTTTTAGTACATAACTTTATATATTTAATAAACTATATAAAGTATTTTATATAAGTAAGATACAATGCACATGCACGAACTCGCCGTAAGGTCGTAGTTCGTAGTGCCTAGAGAAATGGTATCACTGGCAACAGATATTGGGTAAAAATTAATCGGACATTGATCAGAGAAAATATTGAGTAAAAATATTCGCTTCAGCCAAAGAAAACATTGATGTATCGATTAATCGCTTAACATTGCCCATCCCTAGTCGCTTTACCATTAAGCCATAACCACAATATATACAGTAGCGCAACTCTCTGTCGGTAACTTTGATGTTAGTGTTGGCCAAAATGAAGTGCGCATGCGCGAAATAAGCAAGTTACCTAGTGTAAACTAATGGTGCGTTCGGGGAGACGCTATTAGCGCTACTCTGTCATTCTATCTTTGTTGTTTATTAGACGTAAAACAAGGATAGAATGACAGAAATAGCGCTAATAGCGAATTCCCGAACGCACCTCTAGCGTTCCTATGGTTGCTATTTGAACTTCTTTCTCTTTTCATCCTTCTTTCGCTCTGTCAAAACTCACTATATTTATTCGCGTCACATTTCAATGAATGCGTTGGAGTGAGTAAAAGCTATTGTGGAGCATATTGGAGCATGCAACGCGAATAAACCCACTATTGCAATGAAATAATCTAAGCTTAATGAAAATTAATAAAAATAAATTGTAAATATATCGAAAAATAAGGAAAAAATGTAGAAAAATTTTAAAAAATATTAAATCACCTTCAAAACATATATTTATATAGAGAAATATTACATAATTGTAAATATATGCTAGGTATCAAAATGTTATGAGTTGATATAAAAGAAAATTTAGGTTTCTCGAGGTTTCTCACACAACACTTCACCAAATAGACAATGCACGTTGTATTTCCCTCCAAATTTCTACTCTCAACCGCTCTCAACTCTTTAAATGGAACATTGAAACGATCATTTAAATAGAGAGAGAGAGAAAGCAATAAAGAAGGAGAAAATGAGACGGGGCAATTTATTTATTTCACGCATGCGCATTCCGTTTTGGCTAACATAAAATCAGGAGAGTTGCGTTAATGTATATACTGTGCTATAACTAAACTGACGGTTCGTCGCTCACTGCGAGTTGCATAAGTGATCAATATCGCGTCATTTTCAGCGAGGCATGTGTTTCCGTGTATGTACGTAGCTAAAAAAAGGTGTAGACACTCAACACTTGTACGAAAAACAAAGAGAATTTTTTATCGCATAATGTGGTAAGTGCATGAACTTTAACGTTAATTAAGAAAAAAATCAGAATGAATGAACATATAACCTATTTTCGCTGTCCATTCACATTGTAAAATAATCGCAAAATTTCTCAATTATTGATAACAATGCAACTACGAAAGTAAATAAAACTTCAGTAGAACAATCGCGAATACAGGTAACGAATTTTTCAGAACAGAATGTTCAAGTATGTTTTGGAGCTCTAAACAAGAGATTAAATTCCAATGTCGAATGTTCCACGTTCGAATCCCCGGAATTTTTCTTGTTTTTTCCTCATTTTTTCTTCGTATTTTTTGTCAAATGTTACAAGCTGAGGCTCAAGAATGTGATTAAAAGCATTAAAATTATAATTAAAATTATAATAATTATTTGCAGGTAAAATTGAACTTCCTCGTCTCACATGTTATAAAAGAGTGAATTTTTATAATTGTTTCTATCATCTTTTATCCTACGAAAGAGAAAGGAGATAGCTCGTGTGATATGTCGCTTAAGAAAAGTAAATGTTTTTCTAAACATAGAGCATACGATGAAGTAACTACGAGCGATTCAAGTATGTTTCCTCCTCACTTTGAGAGTCTGAAGAATATTTGTATTAGTGACGCAGCTAGTAGTAGGTATACTATTTTCTAAAGTTACTTTTAAGTCAACATCAATAATGATATCTTCAATTTTTCAATTTAAGCATCTATCTCAAACAAAAACATTGTATTATCAGAAATTGACAAGAGGCATAATGAATATTCTGGCATCAAAAATAACAATAAGTACGAAAGTAGGCCCATTATTCTAGAGAACTATGCACAGGAAAGTCTATTACTTCATACTCCAAGTAACAATTTTATCAGTATAGGAGTTAACAAATCTGACAATCTGGAGCAGCTACATATAGAAAGAGAGAATGCAACGAGAAGTGAAACAAATTCAAATAGGAATAAAGTACCTGAATCTTGTAAATTAGTCACTCTACAGAATACAGCGTGTGAAACTGAATTTGTACCTGAATATCGTACTAAAAGAGAAAATTTAGATTATACATCAAATATATATTCTCGAAAAAAACTTTTGTTCTCAATTAAACCGGGAACATCTATGGAAGCAAAAAGCACAGATATTTTGATGGCATCCAGAGACAAAAATACAAGTTCATTACATAAATCATGTTCAATAGAGGATAATGCTGATGTAAACAAAACCATACCTGATGAAAATGAAAAAGATTTCCAACGGGATAAAATGAATGATGTCGTTATATCAAATAATTTTTCCCGAGGTTTAACTGATGATAATATCTTGTCAATCAAAATACAAAATCAAATTGTGAACGAGCAGCATATTACTTTATCAGACAAGAGAACTGCAACGAAAAAGCAAGAAATTGAGGAAATCAAGAATGGAATAACTGTACTACCAGCTAAACCAACAAGATCACTGCCCACAAATTTGAAAGCTTCTATCGAAGATAACAATAAAAAGTCGAAATTAATTAAAGTTGAGTATAAATTGACAAATTCAATGCAACCATTTGCAGGGGGAACGCAATCGACAATAGACGATAGTAACGATTTAAAGTCGACAGGAAAATGTACAGAGCTTTGTACACAAAATGTACATTCAATTAAGCAACAAATTTCATCTGTCGAAGATACAAATTGGAAATTTATATCCGAAGCAAGGGATGAAAATGATGATTTAGAGAATAATGCAGCACATCGGGATACATCTGTAGCAAGTGAGATAAATGTGGAACATGACGAACAAAGTCAGTCATTTGCAGTGCAAAATATCAAGAGAAAAAGGGGTAGACCTAAGAAAGTAATAGATTCCACAGATCAAATCACACCAAAGAGCTCAAGAGACGATGATATGTTGCAAGAGATTCCCAAAATCATTACCGAATCCGTAACACATGATAGAAGACGCACTAGTAAAATTATGATTGATACCAGTATGAGCGATGAAACCGATACCGTGGAAGAAGAAACTATCGTTGTCAAGAAACGAGGTCGACCACCTGGTTCAACAGACCGGAATCGAGGACGCGGTCGAGGACGCGGTCGAGGACGTAGTCGAGGACGCGGCAGAGGGACATTACAAAATTTGGTAGATACCGAATACACTCCTAGATTAACAACGACAAACGTTTCTCAATCCACAACGGAGAAAAGTAACGAAATAGATGATACAAGTGCAACAAGTTGTATAGTGTAGGTGGGCATACAGTTTTATTTTGAACTTCTCTACAGGCTTCGCCTGTATTGACTGACGCCAGATTGACTCCCGAATTCGTGTTCCCTGCGTTTCTTCTCCCTCGCGGAAGGATATCCATGCTGATTCACGCAGTATCCAAGATATTTTATCTCAGTCTGAACCAAATAGCATTTATCTAAACGAAATTGCAAGTGACTCTCGCCAGCTAATTTGAACAACTCAGAAAGGATTGCTAAATGTTCATCGATACTCTCCGTAGCGACCAAAATATCGTCGAGATACAATAATACCTTATGTTCCCGTATGAGCTTCTCAAACACTAAGTGTATAAAACACTGAAATACACGTGGCGTGTTTGTCAAACCGAAGTATCTCCGAATGTGATACGCAATTGCGGATTTATCAGAAAATCTCGACCTCAAAGTACTTTAAATACCATAACATTATCGGATACCGTATAGAACTTTATTTTTGTACCCATGCCTTGTATATCTACATCACCATAGAAAATTCTTAATATCTTAAGCCCGCAAAATTGATTGGTATCTTCACTTACCGGAACGCACCCATCGTCTCTAACAATACTATCGCGAATGAGACTAATCGGTAAACCCGAGTCCATCATCGCATCTAATACATAAGTGTCTGCCTTACCGCATTTATTGCTAGGGGAAGTTTTTACAGTCACCATATAGGGTTTTGGTAATACGATAGACTGTATCACATTAGTCGACGTAGTTTGCGTAGTCTTCACTCCAGCTTCCAAAGTCGCCGGTTGCTTGCGTTCGGAACAATCCCTCGCCAAGTGCTCCGTCGACCCGCATACAAAAAAAAACAGGCTCTTCTCTCCGTTGCCACCGCAGTCGAACGCTTGCAGTATTTAGAAATGTGTCCCGCAGCGGGACTCCCGCTTCGTTACACTTCACTATTTTACTTCCTGCCGATGGCGCCTCTGTCTTCGCGCCGGATGATTTCGTGACCTCTTTCTTCTATTTATGGTCGTTGAATTTCCTTGTTTGGGGACTAATTTTCTCAAAAGATTTTAGCAACTCTATCCTTGACTGGAAGTTCATAATGCGCGCCTGGTTCTGTAAGCGTATATCGGCGATACCCTCTATAAAATAGTCAAGGAGCTCGTCTTCTGCAATAGGTACTCGTTTCACAAGAATGACTTTCTCATGATAATATTCACAAAATTATTCGTCCGTCTCTCATACACGGGCTTCAAATTCCTTTCGAAGTGACAATTTCCCGGGTCGCAGATAAAACATCTGCTCCATTTCTCTTAATAAATCCTCGATACTCAGTGTCAAATATTCCGCTTTCGAGTAGAACCATGTGAGTGCTCGTCCCTTCAATCTTGAGCTCAACAGAACTCTGGTAGAGCTGTCGTCAAGCTGATAATTCCTCAGTAATTCTAATTGAGTTTTCCATCTCCAGAACGTGTCTTTGTTCGCGTCGAACTCTGGCAGAAGATCTTTAATGCTGCGGACGCCGCCAGTCATCGAAGAGATACCACTCGATCTCGAGGCACTTCGCGCTCTCGTCGCAATAACTGCTGCTCTCTCTCCAGTAGCTCTCTCTCTCTCTCTTTGTATCAATTCCAACTCACGTTGTGAATAGCTCTCAAACTCTTCCATATCGATTCTCCTTCCGGAATGAGCATATTATTTTCCAGATTTGTCGACTCGTCCACTGTTTCTTGTTCGGTATCCGTAACCGACGTACTTCCGGTCAGCGCCTGATTCCGTTTCTCGCCCAGAATCGTCCAGATATTCGGATCTACGATACTCAATCGCGCGAATAATTCGCCGCACAATTAATCTCTTTTCTTTACCAAAAAGCACCACGAGGATCGTTCGCATTGATCCCACTTCTGAAAAAAAACTGTAGGTGGGCATACAGTTTTACTTTGAATTTCTCTACAGACTTCGCCAGACTGATTCCTAAATTCGCGCTCCCTGCGTTTCTTCTCCCTCGCGGAAGGATATCAATCAACGGCCAATAATACGCGATCACACGACTACGGGTGCCCAATTATCTCTGCCGGGCAACTGCGACAGTTATCGAGAAATCGGAAATCTTCCGTTCGCGGCGATCCACCTTTTTCTTTCCTTTTTTAAGCTAATGGGTAGGTACGACCCCACCAGACAATGGTCCCAAAACCGACTCGCAGAAATATGTCTACAATAGTGAATACCGAAGATGCTGTTACAGATTCGAATGTTCCACATATTGAAAAAGCCGTAGGTTGCATTATGTCTCAAAGATTTATGCTACAGCATACCACAGTTAAATTATGAGTAATTCAGTTAAATAATCATAGACTTCGTTTACACCGTGCGCTTAGTCCGCGACCTATACGATAAATGTCTTTGTTTAATCTACAGAATAAACAAGGACATCTATTGTATAGGCCGCGGCCTAAATGCACGGTGTAAATGTAGCCATTTATTTACAGATACAATTGGTAACTTGTGCTAAATGCGACCAAGAAATATCGAAAAAACAATGGTCATCACACAATTTATATCATCATAACAACATGGCTTGGCGAAAAGACGATGAGCCATTGGTAATAAAATATGTTTAATATTCTTTGTAGATCTTTGTACTATTAATAAAAATTTATTTTAAAAAATTAATTTATTTATATGTATAGGACTTCGAAAATGACGTAAAATTGTTGAAGAGAGTATTAACTGCTGCTCTTAAACAAAAAAAGAAATTTCTGACTTGTGAAAAATGTGAAGCTACGAAACGGAGTGTCAATGGTTTTATATCACATATGCAATTTTGTGGTAAATCAGAAGAAGTAAGCAGAAAAAGCATATTATTTATTATATATTACATGCAAATATGTGGCACATTTTACTAAAGGTTTTTACCTATTTTATTATTATAGGAAAGACAAGCGTTAATGGTAACATGCCCCATTTGCCACGCAAGTATGATGCCTTCTTCCATGGAAGTACATGAACGTTACCACAGGCAACTAGAACAGAGTAAAATTAAAGAAACAGAATTACGAATAGAAAAAACTAAACGGAAAGCAGCAGAGAAGTAAATACAAAATTTTAATTAAAAGTTGCTTCAATTATACACTTATTAATGTATATATGTGTATGTAGAGAATTGGTGTAAAGAAAATACATAGTTGCTTATTAAAAAATTCATTTTACAGACATTTTTTTAAAGTAACTATGTATTTTTTTACACTAATTGATTTGTCTCATTATTCTGTTCATAAAAGTATTAAGGTATGATTATAAAAAAATTATAACGACGCCACCCAAAGTCAAACTGATAAGATCTGTAAATAGATCTCCTTTTATACCTTACAACTTTTATCTGAAACAGTCATCCTCTCGAGTAAATCTGAGATTCCGATCTTTTTTGAACACCCTGTATATAATATATATATTTACATACATATATATTTTTACATATATATACTTACATTCATATATATTTTGTAATTACAGAGCAGTACCAAGGATATTGGAACTCACCAAATCTTTGAAAGAGCAAAATCTAAGCACGGTAAAGAATATTTATATAGAGACATTCGAGACACTATCGTGTCTCTTGAAAAGTTTGGATTCACATTTGTATATTAAAATTTTTTTTGTTACATGCATTGTAAATTTGTATAAGTATACAGGGTGTTTCTTAAAGTTCGCCCACGAATCATATAGCGCTATTCCAGATTAAAAACTGATTCGAAAAATTCTCTATCATTTTGCAACTTTCATGATAGACAATGGTTGGGCGGCCGGATGTGCTCTTATTCGGCAATCTTTAGAAATTAATATTTTGTCAACAATAGGCCTGTTCTTTTTGACTGAACTTTTGCACCAGTTCACCTTTCTTCTTCTTTTTTCCGCCTAAAAAGAAAGATGAATTGGTGCAAAAGTTCAGCTAAAAAGAACAGGCCTCATTCCAAAAATTGCAAAATTGTGAAGGACTTTTTGACTCAGTTTTTGATTAGAAATAGCGCTATATAATTCATGGGCGGACTTTAAAAAACACACTATATATATATATATATAGAATGTGCGTGCATGGGTGCGTGCGTGCGTGCGTGAGTATATGTATGTTAATACACTTAATATATTTAGAACGATGTAGTACAAATGACGAACAAGAAAAAAATACCAAGCGCTTGGAAAGTTATGTGGAAAAAAGAATTAGAATCAGGTATTACATCTTGTAAACATATAGGATGTACTTTCACAAGTTCCTCTTACGAAACCATTTGTGAACATTACTATCAATGTGATTTCATTCCACAAGAGGTATTTTATTTCATAATATCTGCCACATTTGAAAGAGTGGTTAAGTATATATAAAAAAAGTACAATATTTCTTTCATTTCTAGAATTTTATGTGTAAAATCTGCAAGTTTTCTGCAGATTCTAGGGATAAGATTACAGATCATATAACAGAAACTCATTCCGGCAACAGTGACTTAGAGAAATATTCTGATTATGAGACAGAGGAAGATGAGTATTTATCAGATGAAAGTATACTTGAATGTGTAAAACGAAAGCTCAGTAATCGTCGTCTATCGAAAACAAAATCCGACAGTACAAGTGAGTCAAATAGATAATAGATAAACTATATCCTAATTTTAATAAAGGAATTTATTCATTTTGTGCTATTTGAAAAGCATGCGGGGATTGTTGGATCATTTTTTTTAGAGTTTCACTTTGCTAAAAATCATAGTTAAAATAGTTCGAGTGTCTGAGGAATATAATTTTGAGACACATTTTAACAGAAGGAATCAATGACTGATTTTATTATTTTGTCGAGTTTTTTTTTTTTTTTATTAAAATTAATTATTATTAAAGTCGTAACTCTTACATATTTATACACTTGCACTGTAGAATAATATATATTTATATAAGATGGTCCACTTATCGACCATCTGAAATATCTCGCTTATTTTTGATGATATAAAAAAATGTTTCAAATGAAAGTAGAACGGTTTTGAGAGGGACGTATTTTGGTCATGTCGTTTTTTTTCTAGGTGGAAGCGCCAAAAAGATACGAAGATCACCTCCACTTTTTTAAATGGAATTGTATGATTTTTTTTCACAATATGATTCCTGTAATTATTTTGCATATAAAAGTATTAAGGTAGTGATATAAAAAAACATGATCAAAATACGTCCTCTTCGAAACCGTTCCACTTTCATTTGAAACATTTTTTTATATGGTGGATGGTCGATTTATGTAGACTACCCCGTATACTTACTACAAAGCCTTAGTAATATTATTTACAATAACTGGCATATGAACAATGTTTTATTTCAAGCAATGTAAATAAACAATATTGAACTAAGAATCTCATAGGACCATACATGTGAGTATACAATCAATACGAGATTAATACTATTAACGGTGAGATTTTAATATGTCATTTAATGTTATTAAGGTCGACTAATGTAAGTTACTTATAAGCATTGACTTATTAAAGTGCTAGTCAATTTAACTCGTGATATTATTGCGATATTATTGCGATATAGTTCAGTGGAGTTTGCTTTTCAAGACCGAAAAGTCATTTCGTCGCGCAGTTTAAAGGATTACGTACGTATAAGTATATAAATTCACACAAAAATGTCTAAGCACTTAAGAGCCAGCTAGACCGTTAATGATATTTATTTCGTTGTGTACTCACATGTATGATCCTAAGAGATTCTTAGTTTAATATTATTAATTTTTTGTTAATCGTATACTTCTATGCACACAATAATGAGATAAATAATGAGATGAATCAATTGTGTAAGTAAAGAAAACATATAGTTGCTTAAAGAAAACATGTAGGATAATTTTTTAAAATAAGCAACTATGTATTTTCTTTACACCAATTGATTAATCTTATTATACTGTGCATAACAGTATAATAAATAAAGTATCAAAAAATTAATAGTTTACGAAATACTTAATGTTTCATGTCAAAATATGTCAAAATAAAATATAAAGTGCCTGATAAACTATTGATTTTTCGATATATCTACCTTAATATTTTTATATGTAGAATAATTAAAGGAATCATATTATGTAAAAAAAATCATATAATTCCGCTTAAAGAAGTGAAGGTGATCTTCATATTTTTTTGGCTCCACCTTAAAAAAAAAACGTGAGTAAAATACATTCCTTTCGAAATCGTTCCACTTTCATCCGAAACATTTTTCCGTATCTTTTATACTTTTCGAGATATTTCGGTTAAAAAAAGATCGATTTTATATAGGGATCTATATAAAATCTCTAAATTGTATTGATAATTTTAATATTAAAGATTTGTAATATTGTTTAACATTGAAAATGACTTAATAATAGGTCGAAACGTTTGTTTATGATTTATATTTAATTTATTATTAAAAGTTTTAATTATTAACATATAAGAACTAGTTTGACTCGTTAGCCCATGATTTTACATATATTTCTGAATTTATCAAGTCTTTTCATAATTATTGTTATTTAAAAATAGGACTCTGTATAATATTCTGCTCCATAAACACTCTATAATAACTTTTATTAGGAAATCTTATTTATTCTGTAATGCAAGTAAGAGTCATGACTTTAACAATAATCGATTTTAATAAAAAAAAAAGAAGCTCGACAAAATGACGAAATCAACAGTAGCTTTTTCTGTAAAAATATGTCTCAAAATTATATTTCCAGGATACTCAGACTATTTTAACTATGATTTTCGGATTCAGTAAGTAAAACCGAAATTTAAAAAATGACGAATCCAAAAAAATGATGATCCCTACGTGCTTCCCAAATCGCCTAAAATGCGTAAACTCCTTTGTTTAAATAGACTCATAAAAAGTGTTTTATGCAAATTAATACATATATAATCACATATAAACAAAGAAAATATTTATTTAGCACGTTATCATATTGTTTTTTTTAGCAGAATTATTACATAGATGTACAATCAAATAAAGATGTACAATCAAAATTTAAAAGACTAAATCTCTGAAAAAATTTTAGGAATCTACCGAAAAATGGCTTTCTTGGATAAAGAGACAACGCAAAGTCCCCATTCAACCGAAACTTATAAACCAGCTTTACGTTGGACTCTGGATTTGTAAATATAATTAGCTTATTTTTTTAAATTTAATTTTAATTTTAACTTTACATAGCTTTTATTACTTTACATTAACGGAACTGATTTTTTATTAAATTATTTTTTATTTATTGAAATAACATATATTTTTTATTTATTTATGACAGTGAGCTGAAAAATTATGAATTGGCGTTATTCAAAGATGATGTGCCGAATTGTTTTACGTTATTGGAAAATGATGATGCCACAATGTATCTCCCAGAACTAACAATTTCAATGGCCTTCAAGCATGAAAACGTCAATTTATCGAAAACGAGTTCTGACAAGAATAATTGGAAGCGCATAAAAAGATTTGAGAGTGATACCTATGAAGGTAGTTTACAATATTCTTTTATACATACATCCTGTGATATATGAAAATATTTAACAAAGAATAATTAAATTAAATTCTAATTTTGTTTTAGCTGTGCCAACATTTTTTGTCGGTGGTCCTATATGGGCGTTAGCATGGTTGCCCATTCCATCATCGATCTGGTCCAAAAATCCGACTCAATACGTCGCAATTAGCACACATCCCACGATGGAAAGTAAATATACTGTGAGAAATAAATATTTGGGCCCGAATATCATACAGATATGGGATGTTGGACCCTTAAATCATCAGTAAGTAACTAAAGACGTTGCTGTAACTTTTAACGTTATTGGGATTATATTATATATTGTTTTCAGAGTTAATAGCAAGAATAGATCGCCCGTGTTAGCTTATGCGATTGCGCATAATAGCGGTACAATTTGGTGTTTAGAGTGGTGCCCATCGGGATGCTATCAGGATGTTGATCTTGACAATTATAAAGCAGACGAAAGTAAAATTAGGCGAATGGGATTACTTGCAGCTGCATGCTCGGATGGATGCATAAATATTTATTCACTACCGTTTGCGGATGAACTTAAATTCGAAAAAACGGAAAATAATTCGTGAGTCGTATTTTGATTGCACATCATTACTCTTCTTTCGTTTATTTATAAAATTTTTATGTGATTTGCATCAAGGTTGCCGATTTACAAGACTGATCCGGTAATGACACTGGTTGTAAATACTCTTATATACGATAATAATGAACAAGATTGGCAATGCACTAAACTGTCGTGGACGAAGGAACATGGACACAGGTAATATTCGCAATCTAAATTATTTTTTGTAAAGCTTATATACACGAAATAGTCATTTCATAAATATTCTAAAAGATTTTAAAAAATGATTCCTCACATTAATTAAAGACGAAAATTTTTTCGTAGGTCCGAAGCAGCTTAATTTCGAAAATATAATATTTGTCAAAATTGAAGGAAAACATTTTTTTCAAACATTTCGAAAATCGCTCGAATTATTTTAACGAAATTTATATGTATATTTAAACGATTTTATCAAAATAACCCGAGTGTTTTTGAAATTTTTGAAAAAGAAAATGGAATTTTTTCGACTTTGACACCTTGTATATCTTTGAAGCTGAGTTATTTCGAACATACGATCATATGAAGTTTCGTCTTGAATTAATCGCCCTTAAACTCTTTTAGAATACTCGAGGATTATTGTATAAAAATAATATATTTTTTTAGCATCATCGCTGCAGGTTTCTCGAATGGTTACATCGGATTGTGGCATCTTACGACTACCTCACCTCTGTTGCTCAACGTACGAATGAATACAAAATTTATAAACACACATCAACATTTCTTTGCTCATTACAACGCAATTACCAGTAAGTAAACTCATCATCATCTCACATAAGGGGAAAATGTATATGTAAAAATGTATTGTCTTGTTCTTTTGCATAGTGCTGGCATTAGTTCCGTACGGTAAAAGTCGATTCCTCGCTTCCGCGAGTGTAGACAAATCGTATAAATTTTGGGACTTGGAAGAGACAAGTGGACCGCAAAGCTATATAAAAAAAGGCATAGTATCGAACGGTGCATGGATGATGAACTGGCCGTGTGCAATTCTTAGTTTCGACGATGCACTTGGGTAAAATTTATTTTGTCGCAAGCAAGAATGATAATTGATAACAATCACGATTCCTTCTGATGCGATTATTTTTTCAGATATCATTATACGCATTCGATGATAGTACCGTTGAGAGAATACGGATACAAATATTGCCCAATTTTAGCAACCAACTCGCCAACTTATGTAAGAATATCATATTATCTTTGCTTGTCTTTTTAAAATGTCAACTAATTGTACATTCTCCTAAATAATGTTCAACTTTTTAGGGTCTCGCTGTTTCCGATCACGCTAATAGTATTGCACATGGCACTTTAGCTGGAGAAGTAATGACTATCTTTCCTCATCAACTGTTGTATACAGAAAAAATATTGCCTAAGAAAAGACAGGTAGAAAATTGTACCTTCTTATATCGTCATATTCATAAGATTTCTGACAATTACATATTTTATTATAGTATCTTATTACCAGGGCAGTATTTGAAGTACATGTATTTAAAATATGTTTTTAAATACAATTTTTGAGTATTTTGCCCATCCCTGCTTATTACTATATATATATATTTTTTTTTGTTTATCACAGTTGAACTCTTTCATCGAGACGGTGGATTTCTTAAGGGAACAGCAACATAAAGATAATGAAAACGATAAAAATAAAGATAAAAAGAGTTCCAAGGAATATCACTATATGCCAGAAACCTATAACGAATGCAAAGATCGTTTTGGAATCGTCTTCCATGATAATTTAATGGTAAGTTGTTAGACTTATTTTTTTATTTCTTGATATCTAATTTTAAATAATTTTCTACAGGATTTGGAAAAATATATCGCTAGGAATAAACCGAATAAGGAAAATACTTTGAACAATGATAAACTGATGTCTATCCCTATTGAACAATATCCATTTACTTCTGCAAACAGGGTATATGTCAGCAATAATTTTCACCTACCTTTCTTCTCAACATAATTAAAATATATATTTTAAAATATGTATTAGCACGTTTTAAAAGTCGCGCATTTTACACATTTTCCATATGTAACTAGAAACGAAGTACTAATAAAAGGTGAAATAAATACTTTTAATATTTTTTTAGATGGCTTGGAATCCAAATACGTGGAATTATCTATGGCTTGCAACGGGCTATCAAAACGGCTTAGTGAGATTATTCAACTTGAATTTCATGTCTAACTCCCGTGACTTGAACGCTTTGCTGCTGGCGCACGAGAAGTCTATGCTCGACAAAAAAGAACAAATTAATATCGTTGACATGTAAACGACGAGAATAGAGAATTTTATAAATTATCTTTTGTATATAAAAAAATTTTGTATATAAAATATGAAATAAATTTTTGTCATGTATCGCCCAAGAAAAATTTTCTCCTGTGACGTATCCGGCCGGATTTTTGCAAGGCGCGTTGAGGGATCTTATTTCACTCGCCACTTCCGAGATAGACCTATTGCCGGCCCTGGAATACATCTACATTCATATAAAAGCTGCGTTCGAGAATATATACACACCTTGTGCCTTCAAGTATCATTCTGTCCTTGTTATTCACCGAAAGTTAAACAAGGATAAATTGATACCTGGAGTCTGTGTGTATTCCCGAACACAGCCAAACTACGACGTAGCGACGAGGCGTAGCGAAAAAAAAATACCGGATGAGATCCAGTGTGGGACTATAGGATCGGAGCGCGACAGACGGAGAGTCGCTATCTTGCCGGTGAGGTTTCTCCTATCGCTCTCTTTCGACATTTCCGAACTTCGGGGTGATAACGCTTTCAACCGGAAGTATTTACGAACCTGCGCCAATCGGACGATCCTTGCAACAGCGGTAAGTGCTGAATCTCATTTAAAAAGATTTTGTTCTCGTGTAATTATACGCTCAAGCACATTGAACTCTCACATTCCGTGCTGTATCTTGTTTCTGAAAGGAATCGTCTTTGGGATACAAAATGTATTATTCTCCGTCCGCTTCGCTCATGTATTTTATCTAAAAATAGACATCTCCGAAATAATCTGTCTGCATTTTAATATTATTATATATATATATATACTTTATAATTATTGCATATTGTGTCTTTTATAATTGTAATTATAAAAACATGAATAATGTCACGTGTTTAATTCGAACATTTCTGAAATTTTATTTTCAAGATCGATATATTCTTGGATGCATAATTTCTTAAATTTTATCAAAATTCTGAAAAATAATTTTTTTAAAGAGTCTAGAAGGGGAAAATTATTGAAGATATTTAAGGAATATTAAAAAGTAAATGCTGCAAAACTTTAAAAATCTTTGACGTATCCAAAAATTAAAAAGAGCCAGCAATTTGATTTCAAATTCAAATTTCGATACACACAAAGTGCGAATAAGTTTCAAATGTTTTGACACACTGTCGAGAAAGAGAATTGATTTACCTGTAATTAGTTTTTTCTTTTTGTTGACACACAGAAGATGAGTTTCAATCCCATGAAATGGAAAACGAGATCTATTTTGCACAGCGTTCTAGGCGCTTTGCTTCTTTATATACTATTTGTTTATAAGAAGAAACATCAAGTGATGTTCGAGGGCATTATAAATAAGTCGGATCCCAAACTAGTGTGGGAGTTTGTGGCTGATTTTAGCAACATGAAAAAATTAAATCCAACAATGTAAGTAGAAATCAGACAATACCTTGAAATAAAAAGGATCAATAAGTTGTATTAATAAAAAGAGAAGAAAAGAGAGTATATTATATAGTATATTATATAGTATATCAGGGATAGGTATGATCAACATTTTATGATTGACGATTAATAAATAAATAAAATTTATAGGAGTGTGCAAATTAGTTCGAATTTGAATTGAATCAAATTATAGTGGATTCGATTCGATTCGTTTTCGAATCTGAGAGATTCGAAACCGAATAAGTTTGAAATTTCGAATCTGTGGTTCGATTTCAAATCACTTGCCTATTTTATATGCTTTATTTATGAGCATCTCTCTCTCTCTCTCTCTCTCTCTCTCTCTCTCTCTTTTCCTATATCTCCTGCGACCAATCTTGTTGATACAGCGCATACCAATCTTCGTGCATGCGCGCGTGCGCTTATTGGCTTACATTGTGAAGAAAATGCTATTTATTTTTTTAAATGCTATTCATTTTGTTTAAGCTAGTGAAACTGAAAAATAAAAAGTACAAATTTAGCATAACAATTAGCTTTAAATTAAGTTTCGACATACTCAAAGAAATGTTTTGTATATTATACGCCCGGGAAAAAATGTATAATTATATAGAATTATATAAAATTATATATAATTGTATATAAATAGACGTATTTTATGTACAATTATATATAATTATATATAAAATTATATAAAACATTTATAAAACATTTTTTCCTGTGCGTATAACCATTCATTTTGTTGATGTGTAACTATAACAAAAACATATTACTACATCTTTTGAGATTTATTTTTTAAAAGTAGTTTTATGCAATTAGTGTAATTTAAATACTTCATATCATTTTTGGAAGTACTTATTTCTTGAAATTAAACTTGGTGTCAGTTATTGATATCAAATCTTTTCATACAAATGATAAGTATATATAATTAGGACGATCTTAAATATAAGAGCCGAGTACGAGTACCAGCCTGTGATTGGCTTATAACATCTTGAAACTGTATTTAAAAAAATTCTCATATATAAGAATATAATTATGAATAATAGCCTAGATAGCTCACAAAATATTTATAAAATATTTACAAAATATTATTTATAAGATTTATTTTAAATATTTTGTAAATATATTTTTGTGGTCTCTCTCTTAGATTGCATAGATTATAAACATTTATTATAAATATTATGAATATCTATATAACATTTCAAAAAATGAATATTAATAAATATTATGGGCTGTCTGAAAGGCCTGTTCTTTTTAACTGAATTTTTACATCAGTTCATCTTTCTTCCTTTTCTCTCCAGGAGGAAAGAAGAGGAAGAAAGATGAATTGGTGCAAAAGTTCAGCTAAAAAGAACAGGTCTAATACCAGCCATAGATTCAAGAATATGTAAACTCTGACTGATATTCATAGTCAGATCTTATTTCAAGACCGTTTTAAGTAATGTCTTAAGATGCTAATACAGCCCTCTGATTGGCTGATGACATCTTAAGACTGTATTTAAGACAGTCTTAAATATAAGAATCGACTATGAATACTGACCTATGAATACCGACCTATGGCCGGTATTCATAGTCAGTTCTTATATTCAAGACCATCTTAAGTTCAGTCTTGAGATGTCACGAACCAATCAGAGGGCTGTATTAGCATCTTAAGACATTACTTAAGACGGTCTTGAAATAAGATCTGACTATGAATACCGACCTATGATTTATCCATCTGAATTCATGACGCAGAGAGGACTTTAATGTGCTCGACGAAGGCGGGAATTATGATCACTGGAAATATTCCGTACGATATACAGAACATCTAAGTCATTTGCCAATGATCCGTAACGTAGCGCACGGATACTACGCCGTCAAGCCGGACAACAATGGCTACGTCATCAGTTCCAGGCATCTGACTTGCTTCTTTCTTGACTTTGGCTGTTGTAAGTGGATACCGCTTGCGATCCTGTTCGCTCCGCCTCTCACAAATCAGTCTATACAATCAGTTTCACTTTGTCTCGCTTAATCATTTGCACATAAATCGCTAACGCAGATAAAAAATTGATCAATCATCATTCAGAAATTTTATAAAAATGTTTAGAACAAGAACAAAAAAAAGCATAATAGATATAAGATGACTTAATGCAAGAACGAAACATTTTAACTCAATCAGTATTTAATTAATTTATTTATGCATGAGAAATATGATTATTTATTAGCAGTAAATCTTTATTTAGCTCATTTGTCCATTTATTAGTGTTCCTAAACAAAACTTTTAAGTATGATTCTCGTACAATTATTTATAAACCGTCTGATCTATTCTCGTAAGCTACTGCAGAAATAGTAATATTCTCTTGCAAATAAATATATTAATGATCGCTCTAAAAACATCGCTTCTAACGAATCTTGAACTATTTTTGAATAATCAACTTTCGTTCACGTGCGATTTCCATTCGGTTCTGACCACGTAAATTTAATGCATAAACTCTCATCTGCGTAGAGACGAATCCGATATTCTAATCGACCTGTTTGCTTTTTAGTGGAGTCTATTTCGCAATTCAGATTCGAAGTGTACGGGACGGAAGATACCAGATGCATTGAGACCGTACAGTATGAATGCCCAATCGCGTTCTCGCCATTATGTCACAGAGAAGTTATGTATCAACGGGAAGAAATCCTGAAGAGGCTGAAATCTGAATTCGCTGTTAATAACAGGAGAGAAAATTAGGTTATACTTACACATGATGTATTTCTAGCTCATTCCAATCTATTTTTTTCTTTAATGAAATAAAATGATTTTTATATCATAAAGTAATATATATGAGAGAACGCATTATATCTATTTCTTTTTAAAAGTATTTTGCATCAATTTTAATGGACTGTTATTTGTGCGAACCATTAAGTTATGCTTTTTTCTGATCAAGAATTGAAACTGTACTCTCTAAAACTTTTAGAGCAAAAATCTGAAGAGTGAGAGCGATTTGTTATCAAGACTGATTCAATTTTCACTCTTTAAAATGAGATTCCAATCAAATGAATTTAAAGAGTAAGTTAAACCCGTTTTATAAAAAAAATTCACAGATTTTTCAGAGGAAATTGTCGAATTCTATAATACATGTTGCAATATTTTGTATACATTTATTTTAATCGTCAATTTCTACTATAGTATACGTTACGTATACTATAGTATTTTTATAGTTTTTCGTATATGTTTCTTTTCAAGAATGGAGCCCCTATGCGAGAAAAAAGATAGAGAGGTCTTAAAGCTGGTTCTACATTGATCGCATCGCAATGTCGCAGTCCAATCAGAGTCGAGCTAGCTTGACGTTGATTGGACCGCAACGTTTGCGACACTGCGATGCGACTAAGGGCGCGTTCACACCTTGACGGAAAGCAGAAAGCGGAAAAGCAGTGGCCAATCACAACTCGCGCTGGTAGTAAGTAGTATAAAAAGCTGAAATCGTCGACTACCAGCGCGAGTTCTGATTGGCTGCTGTTTTTCCTCTTTCTGCTTTTCCGTCAAGGTATAAACGCGCCCTAATGTAGAACAAGCTTAATGTTCGCAATGCGCATGCGCAGCACCGTCACCTGTGTAAATTGTACAGTTGAGGTTTGTTCGCGTCGCAAGCTCCAACATGCTCCAACATGCTCCTACCATACCTCCTACTCATTCTATCAAGCGCGTTGGAGTGAGTAAGAGCTATGGTAGGAATAGGTAGGAGCACGTTAGAGCACGTTGGAGCTTGCGACGCGCAAACCTATACGCCTAAAGGTGCCTTTTCATGCTGACGCTCGACACTCATTTTCGGCGTCAAAATAAGTCACGTGATAGAAATTGACGAATATCAAGCGCCAATTTTGATCACATGACCTATTTTGACGCTGAAAATGAGCGTCGAACGTCAGCATGAAAAGGTACCTTAAAGGTGCATTCACATACAAGCGTCAAGCATCAAGCAGTGGAAGCAGCAACCAATCAACGAGGCGATTTTTACAGTGGCGTAAAAAATATTTTTGCACCACCGTCCGTATGATTGATTGCTGCTTCCGCTGCTTTACGCTTACATGTGAATGCACCTTAATTCACACTGGACGCAGCAAGCGTCAAGCAGCGGAGCAGCAACCAACCAGCAAGGCGATATTGTTTACGCCACTGTAAATGTCGCCTCACTGATTGGTTGCTGCTCCGCTGCTTGACGCTTACTGCGTCCAGTGTGAATTAGACAATAGACATCTGTAGTTAGTTACAGCACTCGCAGCGATGTATAGGATTATGAGATACTCAATTGTTTGTAAATATTTTATTAATATACCTATATACTTATTTCATATTTCTACACATTTCTATTCGATGCGGCGTGAAGTCCGATCCAACGAGATGACCGGGTTGTTCGTTTCTATAAGCAATTCACATAATTTCACTGCTTGTCGCAACTTTTAATTGTTGATTGACAGCTAACCGATATCACTTTACTTCTCTCCGAGTGAGTCGCGAAAATCAAGAAATTTAATGCAATTTCTTGTTGTGTATTTAATTCTATGAGTGTGTAAATTAGCGAGTTGTATTTAGCCGCGATTCTCTAACTTGTTTTGTACTTATTGCGATTATGAAATATTAATTCTTTATAACTTGACTCCATGTAAAATTCATGATTCGTGAGTTTTACATAAGGTCAAATTATAAAGAATTAATAACGTGTTTAACAAGTGGCTTCGGTAATTATACGTACAATTTTGTACTCAAGAAAAGTGCGGGAAAATATATAAATTAAGCTATAAATATTCATGAATAAAATATCGAACATTGTATCTTGCAGGTATATGGGTAGATTAAGATTAGGAAAGAACAATGTCATTGACGTCAGCAGCTACTCCTCGAAAATTGCCAATCTTTGTGTTTCCACAAAGTATTACATTCTATTTGGACGACCAGTCCACCCACAAGCAAGTGTTAACTTTGTATAACCCATATGAATTCCCTGTAAAATTCAGAGGTGACTTTTTGTTTTCTTCTTTTGTTGACAAAAGAATCTTTAACTTTGACCTTATGTTCGTTTAATAAATTCTATTGATTTAGTATTATGTACTGCACCATACAAATATCAAGTGGTTGATCCAGAAGGTATAATAAAAGCCAGTTCTTGCGTTGATATTGTTGTCAGACATACAGCGACTTCGACAAATAACTGTAATGTGATTGATAAATTCAGGATACACATGCACGAATATCCTACTAAGCAGGTAATACAATTTATAACCGCAATGATTGACAGACGTTTGTTCTAACTCTAAATTCTATCAATTTTATTAGATAATTGGGAAAAGAGATGTAGAAGCTAAACTTCTCCCTGGAACAGCAGATACAGCCGGGAGAACGACACCAGATCCAGATGTGTTTCAACAACTTCCAATAAATGAGAATCGGCAACAAGAATCCTATGCACTCATAAGCCGAAATAAAACAGTAGACAGTAAGTAAATATTTGAAGGTTCGCTTTAATTAAGCTTGAAATTTTTCAATAAATTGTGAGTTTTATTTGATATAGAAAAAATAAAATGATAGAAATTTTGTATTTCTATATTGCAAAATTTAAACATTAGTGTGTGTGTGTGTGTGTGTGTGTGTGTGTGTGTGCGCGCGCGTGTGTGCACACACATGCGTCTTGTGTTAGATCGACATATAAATAAAAAATAAATTCTTCATTGATCCATATCTATAGTAATGAAACAATTACTTTTAAACACAATGCGTTAATAGCTACAAATTATATTTTAGGAGGTACGAATTATGTAGCCCTTATTGCAGGAATTATATGCATAATTGGATTGCTTCTACCCACTGAGGGAGAACAAAATCGCAGAATGCCTGATTATTTGCATCTCTCTGTGAATTTCAAATTAATATTCTCATTTGTGTTAGGTACGTATGTAATTATATAGGTAAATGTACATAGAATTATAAGAATTTTTTTGTTGCAGGTATGGTTGCAAATATCGTTTTAGGACTATAATTATTAAAGTTTTATACAATTGACAACTTTACATAGGATAGAGACTCATAGTATAAAAGCACAATTATCGCAAGACTTTATTACATTGGACCTCCTTTCTTATAAAATGTACTTGATTCTAGTCTACGAATGATAAATTTCAACGTTGTATTGACCAAGGTAGGATTTGTTTTTGTAATTATATAATTTTATAATTATATATATATATATAAAGAATGATAAATATTTACATTATATATATTGTTTAAATATATATGATGTAAAAATCCTTAAATATTTATATCATATTTTACATAAAAATAATCCTATTTTAAAGTGAGGTGGTTCTTAAATGTATAATGAGAGATATTCTGGCTCGTGAATTCCAGGCCTACTGGAAAACTAATGTAAATTCATTATTTAAATCGAGCGATTATGTATATATATCGAAGAAAAATTGTATATGTCTTTTATAAATGACGTAATATGACGAGATAACGTAAAAATACTGTTAATGTTTGCATCACTAGCTTAACTTTTCATCTTTTAATGTTGTACATATAATCATATATATTGTGATATATCTCGCCATTCATAATATAATCATTTTATATATAATTGCCATGATCTCATGTACAGCTAAATAAGAGGGTCTTCCTGTATATAAAGACGGATTGAAATTTCAATATTAAAAATATCGACAATGGACAATTGTCATTTTTTATTATCCATCTTTTATTATCCCTTAGTCTTATGTACAATGTCATATCACATACATGATTTGATAATGAAATTAATTCACAATAAAATATAACAAAAATTCCAATTAAAAACATGTGCGATATTTGAACTGAAGAAATAGATCGAATGTGTGTTTCTTTTTATATATAGAAACTCTAGAATTAATAAATTATATTGTTTTTTAATAGAACTCTCTCGAGATTTAAATGAAAACTAATAAATGTTAATAACCCGGGCAGTGAGAACGTATTAATGCATCGCAGTAGTTGAAGCTTAATTAATATAATATATTTTTGACAATTTCACATTAGATTAAGTACAAATTGATTGATGTGACTCATGTATGAACGTTTCGGTTTCTGTCAAACCATCTTCAGCAATGCTAAGTACAATTAATTTCCTTTCAATGTTGATACACAAAATTTCTTGGTCTGCAATTATTGGAATTTAATTTCTAAAGCTGACAGAGGATGAGCTTTTCTCTACTTTACTGCCATTTTGTCTCTGCTGTTTAACCAAGTGACTACTAAAGAGTACAATAATGACAAATTTACTTAAACTATGATGAAATTATATAAGTTAATATTTTTCAACTTATCCTCTGCCTTAATAGATCACAACCAGTAATTCCATATGCAATATGTTATAGTATACAGTGTAAAATCTTAATCTAACATGAAATATATAGAAATATCGATTATAATATCTTGATGAAAGTCAAATGTGTGATAACTGTCAAATTTAATCTAGAAGCCACGTCAGTTCAAAGTAATAAATAAATTAAGAGTCCAACTATTATAAATGTCAATTTTGTAAAACATAAACAACTAAGATAAATACTTAATGCCATTTGAATTTCTCTATAATGCAGAAACTCCGTATCCGATTGTACGTTTAAACTATTAATTTGTAATTGAATGTTTAACATTTCCGAAATTATCTTTTTCTATTTAATATCACAATATTTTCCCATTCAAATTCATGATTGTATTCCAACATATGTTGGATTATGAATCAATGACTGATTGGTTGAAAGTTTTTCTATTTATGTGATTTTGTGTTCATTAATTTTCGTTTTTAATAAACGTCCTGTTTGTCCAACATAGGTTGCATCAATCAGTCTTTACATTGGATCTTGTATACAACATTTTTGTTAGAATTTGAAGGAGACTCATCTTTATAGATTTTAATGATTCTCTCCAGTTTATTGAGACTACAGAAACAAAGATTGCGTGAGAGAAAATATAGATGTTGATCCTTAATTCACACATCAATCAGTTTAATCTAATGTGAAATTGTCAACAATATATTATGTGTACCTTCCAACAAACGACACAATAACACAATATGACAAATAACACAAGTGACACAATGGATCATTACATACTTGTTGTTTGCCAATGTTAAACAAAGATGACATGATCACTGTGTCGCTTGTTGGAAGGCACACTATATTAATTGCGCTCCAACTACCGTGAAGTATTAATGCTCTCACACTGCCTGGTTATTAACATTTTCTAGAATTAATGTTAACACAGGCAACAATCGTTTCGAGAAACCTATTTTCGCAAAACTGGACAGAGACGCAATATATATTCACCTACTCACAGGATAAGCAGCCACAAATTTTTTCCTCATATTAAACACCTTGGAAATAAGGACGTTTGTTTATTTATTTTGACATATAGTCATTATTTACATAAGTTACAACACAGATACTTATGATTGAAATGTATCATCAAATGGATATTTCCCAACATTTCACGTCTTTTTTACTTTTTTCTTGTCGGATACATGATCCTCTGGGAAGTATAATAAGAATCGGCTGTATTTTCAGAAAAGCGTAATATGATTAGATAAAAAGAAAATCTCTTTTTGAATAATTTTCGATTAAATTGTTTAAATTACCTTAAGTCTGTCAGGGAAGTTTTAATACGTCTCGTTCTCGAAATTATACAACTTTAGAGATTTCGATGTACATTCTTCAAACTGTCGTTATGGGTTTTATATTCCATAGTAGAGGTAGGAGGAAGATGTAATACTCTTCTCAAAGTATCTCTGATTCGTGCTGTTATCGTCACATCCGATGCTGTTTTATTCCATACACATATTATGTCTTCCTATCAAATTAATCAATTCAATAAAAAAAAAGTTCTTATATTTTATGTAAACTGAAAATATGCGTAATCTCTCACCCACCTGAAATCTTATAGATACAACAGCACCGCATATTTCTTCTCCTACCATAAATTGCTCTCCTAATATTGCCAATATAAGATTTTCCCAACATCTAGAAACTAAACCCTTTCGTAATCTCACTATCCACTTGCCACCTTTTTGATTCGCTTCGTCCTAGAAAGAAGGAAACTGATACATAACATGCAATAAACACAGTGAATGCAAAAAGTATTCTTACAAGGAAGATTTTCATAAAAAAAGCTTTATTTGTAGAAAATAAATTAACAATTTATTAACAATGAATATGTTGTTCTAATATAAATAAAAAACTTAGCAAAAATAACAGTGTTCATGATCTTAGAAGCTAAATTTCTGAACTATACAAATACTTTTTGTGCATCCACACAATAGTACAATTTTTCATTTTCATTATTAAGATTATTTCAATTATGTTTTTAGATAAAATTAATTTTAAGATAATCTATTTTATAGTTTATTAATAAATTGTTAATTAATATTTATTTTCTGAAAATAAAGATTTTTAAGAAATCTCACCTGTATGACTACTTTTTGTACTCACTATAAATAGGACAAGACAATGCTTACCTCCCACATAGGTTTTATACCAACTTTGAAAAGATGGAAGTCTGTGTGTGTCGTAAGATCCGATGGTCGTACTAAATGACTGTAAAGACCCCAGAATTGCTCTACGCTTGCAAACCTGCCGACCAATTTTAAATTTTGGTCATAACTCTGTATATTAGTCTTACCAGGACTACGTCGGCTGTACCACAGTGCATAAGCATATTGTAATTTATGCTCATTTGGATTTATCTCTATTAGAGGCTGTTAACAAGATATTAATCTTCAGATTTTTATTGACGTTAATACTTCCATCATCAACAAGATCTCTGTTCTACTCACTAATGGATTCTTTTCTGCCTTTTGATTATCCTTTGATTGAGACTCTTCATCTCCACTGTCTTCTGTAGCTTTCAACCTGTAAGTGCTGTCATAATTTGTAAGTCAAACATAACAGAAATCAAATATCTCAAGCATCTGTTACATATTAATCCTCCAAAACTGATGTCAAAATCTGTAGCACAGTTATTGATGTTGGGTCTGTGAAAGTCTATATTAAATTATATTTAATTAAATAATGCTTTTTAGTCACAACGTAAATTTAATTCCATGTGATTAAACAGTAAAGTCAAATGTGGACTTGCAATTTTTGATTTTGTGAATTTTATTATATAACTGGTGTATATATATATATATATATATATAGTAAGCAATTATATTTTTGTAAGTTAAAGTAAAATATTGATTTTTATAGTTAATATAATGTTTTACATAAATGACAAACTTAATGATAATTGGAATATGATGAGAAAAATATATGATAAAAAGCAAAGAAAGAGCAAAGATCCTAGGTAAGAAAGAAACAATATATTAGATAATGATACAGAACCTGTTAGCTACAGAAGAGATGGCAACCTTTGATTTTAGTATTATTAACTCTTGATGTAATTTATAATTGATAATTTTATGTTATTTTAATGTAGCTAATGAAGACGAAGAAAAAGAATAAAATCAAAACTTACTACTTATTGTAGATAATTTTCAAATTTAGTAGAATATACTAACATCTTTTATAAGTTTGGCCTTGTTTAATAAATTACAATTTTTAAAATTTATTCAATTAATTTACAAATGTAACAAAGAATATATTAAATGTCTTCAATAGATCTACTATCAGCTGTGGAGGATTAATAAGAATGACTTCAATAAACGTTGATTAACTTTAAGATATTTTTAGAAAAATATTATAAATTGATGCAACAAATATAAAACCTGTTCTTTTTAATTAAACTTCTTGCATAGTTCCTCTTTTTCTTTTCAACGTGAAAAAAAAGAAGAGAGAAATAAACTGTGTAAGAAGTTTAGCTAAAAAGAACAGACCTAGTTTCTAACTTATTGCACTATTCAGAACATTCTTCGAAAAAGACCTTTAATTAGCAGAAATACTCTATGTCTATATAAATCACTGTTCCTGATCTAATTTTTCTTTCCTATTACCAAACAATAAGAAATAAATAATTCTATTTACGTTAACAAAATGGGCATCACACAACAAGATAACCGCTTGTTAAGATAAAACGAGATAAAACGTGATGAGTTGTTGGCTCATAAGAGAAACCACGAATCCTAACCAGTACTGGTTAGCCTGTCCTCTTCATCGTCGAGAGTTGAAATTGAAATTTCGCTCGGACGAAAACGTGACAGATAGGGACGTTTATCCGGACCGTACGACCCATTATGCAGTGCAGGTCCATTTCTAATGTAAATTCAGTTTAATTTTTATCTTTTTTAATACTAACTTAAAACTAGAAGAAAATAAAAAAATAAGTTAAGACGAGACTAAAGTTAATCTATCATTAGAAATGGACAGCATTCGCGTCTAACCTCGAAAAAAACCCGCCCGCGGTAAAAGCACTTACGTTTCGAACTTATTGGACATGCTTGCGGCTACAAAATTGCGTGCTCCAAAGGAATATTAAATCGCGTATAAGTGTATCAAAGCTTCGTGAAACTTTTTGTCTCTTCACCCGCACGTCAAACTTTCACATCTGCGGTGTTTTCGGTAAACTGTTGATCGTCCAGCACCGGCAGCACCATGGTAAAATATAAGAGGCCTGTTCTTTTTAGCTAAAGTTCTTGCACGTCTCATCTTTCTTTTTTTTTCTCTCGCCGTTGGAGAGAAAAAGAGAAAAGATGAACTGTGCAAGAACTCTAACTAAAAAGAACAGACCTAAGGTGAAACATTACGCATAATGAAAGTACATTTTCACGGGCTGCTAAAATAAGCATAAAGGTAAATTTTCACGAACTGTTCAAACCGGCTGTTTCAGCGACAAAAAGGATCACGTGATCGAAATGGACGCTTGATATTCGTCAATTTTAATCACGCGATCCTTTTTGTCGCTTAAACAGCCGGCTCGTGAAAATTTACCTTAAGAGTAACAAATTGACCAATTACAGTTGAATGTAAGAAGAATAATCGACTGTGATTGGTCATTTCTTATTCTTATAGCCTCATTCATTAGTCCGGATCTACAATAGGTGTTTTAAGACTTAAGCCGTAAGAAATTGATCAATTACCCCGGATCTACAATAGTGTCCGTATTCATAGTCAGACCTTATACTTAATGCGGGATCTACAATAGAAGTCGTAGCAGTCATAGGCCGGTATTCATAGTCAGTTCTTATATTCAAGACCGTCTTAAGTACGATCTTAAGAAGCCACGAACCAATCAGAAAGCCGCATTAGCGTCTTAAGACACTACTTAAGACGGTCTTGAAATAAGAATCGACTATGAATA